GCCGGGGAGCACATCTAAATCAATATCAGCCTCAGGGTTTGTGGTCCCGAGAGGAGACTCGTTTTCACATTAATGTCTTAGAACTCAGAATGTTTCGTTTGACAGAGAACACCACAGCGATGTTCCATGTGAACAGGTCGGGAGGCGCATGATCACCCCCTCTATGTTTGGAAGCGATCCAGCTGTGGAATTGGTGTATCCACCACCAGATCACTCTTACAGCCATGCACCTACCAGGACTGCAGAACACTGTAGCAGATCACCTGAGCAGGAAATTTACAAATGAACAAAAGTGGGCGATAAAGGATTCATAATTTGGAGAGCTTTTCACAGGCAGGGTCACCCATCCATGGACCCATTTGCCGCAAAAATTAACAAAAAGTGCCCTACCTTCTGCTCCGGGGGGGCCTAAGTCCAGGATCTCTCTTAGACAAATTACTCATTCCTTGAACCCCAAGTCTCATATATGTACATCCACTGATCCCTCTTTTACTGAGGGTCCTAAGGAAGTTCAAACAAGAGTCTGCTATAACGATCCTGATAGCACCAACTCGGCCCACCTGGATTTCATGAGACTTTCAATTTATTATCCTGTAACATTGCCACTGAGTCCATACCTGGGCTCCCTGGACAATGGGAGCATCTTACATCCAAACCCAGCCTCTCTACATATCACAGTCTGAATGCTGGCTGGTTGGCATCTGTGGAGAGAGCTTGTTCTAGAGACACCCAAAACATTCTTATACAGAGTAGAAAGGAAGTAGGAAAGTAGAAAAGGCTCCCTTTGGGCAGATCTACACAGTATGTCTCCAACAGAATCAAACATTCCTAATATTCTGGATTACTTAATGTCATTAAAACGACCAGGACTTTCTATCAGTTCTATAATGGTGCACCTGGGAGCTATATCAGCACAACATCCCAGGACCACACATGAGTTTTCACATCATGTAATCACTAGATTCTTTGAAGGCCTAACACACATATTCCTACTGGTGCAGGAACTGCCTCACTCCTGGGATCTCTATATAGTTTGGATGAACGGGTCCTTCCTCTGAGCCTCTGGCATTATATTTATTGCACCATCACTCCATGAAAACAGCCTTCTTAATGACTGTCACTTCAGTCTGTAGGATTGGGGAGCTGCAGGCACTCATGGTGGCCCTCCATGCACTGTTCCTTTCTTAGGCCCTATCCAAATTTCTTCCCAAGGTCATTTCCGACTTCCATCTAAACCATGAGTCCCCTACCAGTGTTCTTCCCTAAACAACACTCCAGCCAAGGGAGGCAAGAGACTCCACTCTTTAGATAGCTGCAGCACCCTGTTGTTTTACCTAGATAGATACCTTGGATATATAGTCATCCAAGGTCTTGCCTACATCGTTTGTTTGTTGCCTTTGCAGAGAGAATCAGAGGCCATGCCATTTCATCTCAAAGGCTATCTAAGTGGGTCTCAAACTTTATTAAGCTTTGTTACTAGTTAGCTAGTTTAGATTATCCAAGTGTAGCTCAGACAGCTTCTGCAGCCTCTTTCAGAAATGTTCCCATTGCAGAAATATGTAGAGCAGCTAATTAGGGATCTGTTCATTAAGTCACAAAACATTATTCCGTGGTAGAGGTATCTAGATTGGATGCCTCTTTTAGCAAACCTGTTTTATAATCTCTCTTCAGGTAAAAAAGCTACATGCCATGAAAGGTGTGTGTGGCTTTATTGGACCTTGATGTTTACATCATTTTCTGTGGCGGGCACTAAAGAATAATCATAACATTAAATTAATATTAGTTATAAAATAAAATGGACTGGAGACATGCAACACTGAAAAGGGCATAGAACAGAGTTAGCACAACAGAAGAAGAAACTTGTTCTTGCTTGTTGGTGCCATCTTAAATGTGTCCCTATGAGGAACTAACCCTGATGTGGCGTTGAATGATTTGTTTTGGTTTTAAAATGCTTTTTTAGGAAGAGCAATGTTCAAAGAGGCATTTTGAAAATATAAAAATGAAACATTTCCGCCTTCAAAAACAGCCATTGGAGTCCTTTGTAGCATCTATCTTGGATTTCCTCCATTTAAAGAGAGTGTCTCCCAGTGCCAAATTTAAAATGTTTGTTTTACTTTAAGATATTTGCCTTTTGGTTGCCTGATAAATATTCTGAGGGCCATTTAGACACAGTCCACCTATCCTCTCCCTATGCTAATTTACTGCATGGTGTCTAACCAATAATCTAATAACAAAATGTAATCATGTCCCAAGATGAGTTTATCCACAGATAATCTCATCACATGACAATTTCAGTTGAAAATGATGTTTCTCTGGATAGCTTCCAGACAGGATAATATCACAAACACTCCCATGAAGATTTTTGTCACGTCTTAATTCAGTATGTAAGTGGCTACTAATTCCAGATAAATAATTTCCTTTCCCAGTGATATGTTTCTTTCATTCCTGATAGCTGTTCCTCTTTGCAGATGAAGTGTCTAAGGAAGTCTTCCAGAAGCCTAATAGGATTTTTAATTATCTCACTTGTAGACCATTTGGTAAAATATAAAATCACAGTCCTGCATTCCCATAATATTTTATCTTCATCAGATCATTTCACCAGCCACTGTCACTAAGTACAACCATGTTGTATGCTAAATGTTACACTCTCACACTGGCTGGAATCTAGCCCATTTACTGTAAATACCAGGGATAAAATGCCTAAGGAAGATAAAAGCTTGGGAGAACAGGGCAAGTTAAGATCATATCCATTTGTAAGCATGCCTTTTCTGCTGTCATTGACAGAGTGTGACCTCTTATTTCCTCCAATCCCAGCCTCTCTGAACAGCAGATTGAACTGTAAGTGGAAAGTGACACTAAGAAGACTGGAAAGCCTTTCACAGGATTAGAAAAAGAGCAGCAAAAAAGAAACCATTAGCGCAGCTGAGAGGGATCAACATGACAGGGTTAAATAATCATTTGTTTCAGAGAAACCACGGATCACATCACCTGCCCTCTAAATTCTTCTCTGATTCTCTGAACAGTTATACAGATTTTCCAAAAGGTGCTGATTTTCAGCGGTTAATCTGTTTTATCCAGTGGGTGAGAACACGTACAACATTATAAATACAGTTTTATATATATATATATATTCATTAAAAATAAATAGTGTTGACGTCTCTATGAATTTTCCGTTGGCTAAGCAGGATTTAAAAGCAAGAATAGAATGCATTATCTTAAAGATTTAATTTAATAATAGAGTATATATAATGGAGTTTTTGAAAAAGCACTTTGGATATACTTGGCTGAACACAAAGGGCTGAATTCCCATTGGGAATCATGCACAAAGTTCCAATTAGCATTATCTGGAATTACGTGCTTAGATGCCACAATAAAAATTCAACCCAAGTGTCCTCAAGATATTAAAATATGTTGGAAATGGTTCTGCTCTCCTGCACTCTTGCTCTCAGTACACTGTTGTAAGTTGGGGTGACGCTGTGGAAGTAAATGTGGCTGATTCTTCTCTCACACCAATTTTAAAAGCAGTAAATCCATTGATTTACTCCCACTTTACACTGGTGTAAGTAAAATGAGAATCAGGTTCAGTGGAATTACACTGGTGTAAAACCAGCATAATTTAGGCCAGAATTAGGCCCAATGTTGTGTCAGTTTAGTATGGCAGTAGATTTTGATGTTCTAAAAATAGGATTGTGGGCCACATTTTCATTCTGAGGGGCTACACCAAGACCCTTTTACACTGCACTGGCAGCTTGAAAGGGCCTTAAATTACATTCACACCCACTTTAATGCCTCTTTATAATGCCAGAGCAGTAAGGTAAATGAGAACGAGGCCTTGTAACTTCCCTGGTATGTCAACAAGTGTAGGGAGCACAGCAAGGATGGAAGTCCCTATTAAAATACATATCCTTATTAATAGCACCGGAGACACACAAATCACTGGCCAAACACATTGTTTTGTTTTTTTAGAAATGTTCTTTTATTCAAGTTTCAGTGCAAAAAAAATCCCCCTACAGAGCCATAATCAGCCCAGGTTCCTTAAAACTTTCCCATCATCCTGTCTGCTGAGCTTGATATGCCCCTGCACATTCACAGCTTTCGATGACTCTCCTCAAAGCTGCTCTTACTTATGCTGCAATGTGACTCTATTGATTTCATAGTGTGACCCCTGATTTACTCCATGAGAGCAGAATTGGAGCATCACTGTGAATTCACACAGGAGTCAGTGCTCACCAATATGAATAAGGGGTCCGTAGTTGGGCCCTAAGTCTTCAAAATCTTTCTAATGCTAAAGCAATGGGAGATGATGGTTGAAAAGGTCATGTTTGTAACCTCATAGCAGGCCTTAGTCCTCCTGCAATGTGACAGATCTCGCCCCCTCTGGGTCTGGGTTATAGGGGGTGTAATGAGGAGAAAGGGACATGGCCAGAGTGCCTCTGATCCAGCAGGTCCCAGCTATCAGAATAGATCCCTTGCTAGCCTCTGAATCAGGGAGCAGCAAAGATAGGATAAAGCTCCCTTCCCTCCCACCTCCTCAGGACTGAACTGAACGTAGCTCAGCCAAGTGCAAGAAACAGGCCATGTTTAGTTTTTCCTGAAATCAACCAGCATATTTTTATTCTGCAGTGGCACGTTGATATTTCCCATTTACTTCAATTTCTTACCTGCAGAAAGAAGCCATTCTGAATTCTGGAGATTTAATTGCCATGTTTAACAAAAAAATCTCCATGAAAAGCCATTATTTTACCACTAAAAATTTCAAGAAAGAAAAGAAAAAAAATAGCATGAATAGGAGAACCCAGAAGGGGAAACGACCTCAGTGTGATCTCAAGTACCTATGTAAACAAAAATTAATAGGTATATTTTGCTTTAAAAAAAAAAGCAATTTATTAACAATGATGAATGTGCTTACCATCATATTTTCCAGAAAAACACAAAGCAGTAATGTAACTGTTTGAACATAGGCGTATGATTTTCCTAATTATGTGGTGTTTTTTCCCTAGGCAACATTTAAAGGTTGGATGGACATTATGTATGCAGCAGTAGATTCACGAGGGGTAGGTCACTCACATTAAATGCTTTCTTCTTGCATCCTTCTTTCCTGTTTAGTTGAATTTTGCACCATTCTGGCTGGTTAACAGCAAAACTACCTGTATGCAACTCACTTGACTTCTTTGGGGATGCACCAAGTTTAACTTAGGGCAGATTTTTGTCTAATGTGCTAGTGAAATGTAGAGTGATTGAAATGGGTCTAGGATGTGTGCCATCATTTGTGTAGTGGGGTTTATATTATGGATCAGTTTGGAAATGTAACTATTTAGTGTACAAGAATATTTTAAAAATATTAAAACCTGGGGCCCAACTCAGGACACAAATAACTTCCAGGTAACAGTTAACTGACCTCCTGTCCTGCAGCAGTAGGGAGATTTGGAGGGAGCAGATCCTCGGCTGGCATAAATTGACATAATGGAGCTATGTCGATTTACATTTCACCTCATACTGTCTTAGGATTCAGTTTTCCAATCTGTTTAAACCAGACAGAAAGGTCAATATAAAGGTGAATACCAACCTGAGACTCACAAAGATGAATGGATCTTTAGATTTTCCATAGATCTTATTTTTTGTTGCAAGATGTGTTTTATTAAGTGGAAGTTGTGATTAGAATGATCAGAGGTGAAAGTAAGTCTAGAAGCACCCCAAATATAGTTACCCAAAGTCTAGGTGGTGTCAAGGGACAGCTGCAGGATTCCGGTGGCCAGCCTTCTGCAGCTGGAGTTTTGTTATCAGACTCCCAAGCTCATAGAAATTCAGTTAAAAGAACTTCTTCCAGACTTCTCCAAAGTACACTCTCTAACTTAAGCCTAAGGATCAATTGACTCTAACTAAACTCTTTATAGGTTTTCTCTTGAGCAAGCACATAATAGGCTAACAATCGCCCTAGCTACAGCCTAGCAACATGGGCCGGCTCTCCCGTTTTTGCCGCCCCCCACCCCCAAAAAAGCTACTTGGACTGCTGCCCGAACTGCTGAAGCAATAAAAAAAAAGCCACCTGGACTGAATGCTGCCCCTTAGCATGTGCCGCCCCAGGCATGTGCTTCCTCCGCTGGTGCCTGGAGTCGGCCCTGCTAGCAACAGTGAATAATAATTCATTATTTTACTTATCAGCAAAGCAACTTCAAGCAAGAAACTTACAAATGCAGGCCCACCCAAACCAAGGTCAGCCATTCACATTCCCCCACTTCCCCCATCCCCATTTTCATGAATCTGTCCTTTCACTTTATCTATCTTAGTTAGTAACACTGCAATTGTGTAGCTGTTTTTGTTCTGCTGCCTAAGCCAAGGCCAGATTTTTCCTGACTCTGTGGTGCCCTCGCTTCCAGCTTATGGTGGTTAAGTGCACAAGATCACTGTTGTTATGTCAAATCAATTTCTCTCATAACAGTTATTTTATTAATATCCGTGATTACCACCAGTTCATATAAGCAGGAGTATAGCCAGAAGATTGATTTATTTGTTTATTTGTTCCCCTTTTTTATTTCATATTGAATGCATTACAGTGGATATATTCTGAAGTTGCACTTTTTAATACATGCACCCAGTACAAAATCTTCTAACCAAAGATTAAGTACATGAATTACACTCTATATTTACACTGAAAATACAGTGTAATGACATGATCATAATGACAGTATTATAAAGTGTAACTGAAATGATCGTGGTATTTGAGATACCAATGATGACCTTTTAATGGCAAGCACTGAATGCTTAAACACTGAACGGGTACTTAACTTTTATAATATTTTCTGTGTTATTGAGTGAGTTTATTTTTAATCTTTTGATGTGTGTGGTGATGGCACAGTTTTTCTCCCTCTTCTTTTTACATTTGCCTTTTATATTTGCAGTGTGAGGATCAACCTGAATGGGAATATAATTTATACATGTACCTCTACTTTGTGATTTTCATCATCTTCGGGTCTTTCTTCACATTGAATCTCTTCATAGGCGTCATTATTGACAATTTTAACCAACAAAAGAAAAAGATAAGTACTGTATATGCTGTATAGCCCCTTGTGACTGCTATATGGAGGGCAAAAGGAATGGATTTAAAAACAGCAGCACAGCCAGTCTAGCATCTCGATTAACAGAATATCCTTAGAAACCATCTTGCGTTACTTTACAAATTCACAGTTGCAGCAGCCCCTTATCGCTACGCAGGGCCAGTGCTCTGAAAACACTGGAAGTTAGATTCTGCTCACACTAATCAGGAAGCAGTGTTAACAGCACCAGCCCAGGGGGACCTCAGGGATTAGTTGTGCCTCAGGGACACATGCCTTCCCAAAGGAAGAAAATTAGAAAAGGATGGAAATTCCCAATACCTCAAACTTAGTTTACATTGCAATAATACTTATCATTCAACCAAAGTAATAGCAGCTTTATCTCTTTATACTTAGGTGGGCAAGACATCTTTATGACAGAGGAACAGAAAAAGTATTATAATGCAATGAAAAAACTGGGCTCCAAGAAACCCCAAAAACCCATCCCAAGGCCACTGGTGAGAATATCTAGGTTATTCCAATTGAAATATGTATATTCAGTGAATGTCTTTCATCGAGTGAATACAATCTCCTGGGAAAAAATGCCCCTTTTGTAATATAATTTGTTTAATTCAGCCATTGTTTGAAAGTGTAGTGAATTGTGTGTCTTATAATCACCACTGCACTACAATGATGATTTGGGGTCAAATTCATGAACGGTGTAACACCATTACCTAGTGTGGCCTGTATTAAATGAATTGGGGATCTCAGTCCCAATCTGTAGTAAACAGGTTACCATTCATAAAAGCTACCACTACTATTGGCATGATTGTTGGTAGACTCAGCAAAGAGCCTTAGGTTTGAATGGGCATGAAAATCCAACCAATCCATCACCCCCTTTACATTTACGACGGCCCGTGTGGAAACTGTGACATATTTTCTTCGGGATTCCAGTTGCAAGGGGAGGGAATGATATAATCATTTTATATGATTTGAGTCTCATAACTAACACTAATGATCCTTTTATTTGTTTCAGAACAAATACCAAGGTTTTATCTTTGACGTAGTCACCAAACAAGCCTTTGATGTCTCCATCATGATTCTCATCTGCCTTAACATGGTCACCATGATGGTGGAAACAGATGACCAGAGTCTAGAAAAAGTGAACATCCTTCATAAAATCAACATGCTCTTCGTTGCCATCTTCACAGCAGAATGCAGCATCAAAATGTTGGCTTTAAGACACTACTATTTCACCAATGGCTGGAACATATTTGATTTTGTTGTTGTGATTCTATCCATTGTGGGTAGGTAACATTCAATGGCAGAGAAGTCTTTTTGCCTAAACTGAACAAATAAAAGGTGGAAACAGAGATGTGTTTGGACTGTATTAAATGCTTTTTGCAATACGGTGCTGAGCACCTCCAGCTAGGCATTGGGTACCCTCAGTTCCACCAATGGGAGAGCCACTTACGGGATTGGTTCCTAAATATTTTAATTATATTTAAATCATATTGAAATAACATCGCATAACAATCAAATGTGGCATGACCAGGCAAAGGTAGAGAGTTTGGGTATGCTGAACATAACAGATACATCCAGTAGAACATACATGCCATACTACTGAAAGTAATAAGTAACACCCTCACATGCCCTGGCATTGATTTCAATGGGCATTTAGTGGCTGATAGGAACACAGGAGGGTGTGTTAGAGAAATGGCAGTCAGAGGATTAGTAGTTGCAATGCGTCAGGGTGTAAGAGGAAAAGTCAAAAGCCACTTGGGCCATTATTATTATTTATTATTTGTATTTTGCAGTAGTGCCTAGCAGACCCAATCATGGACCAGAACCCTATTATGCTAGGTGATGTACAGGCACAGAATAAAACAACAGTCCCTGCCCCAGAGAGTTTACAATCTGAGTATGAACTGCCAATTAAAAAGAAAATAACAATTGGGGAAATGATACAATTTGAGACGAATGACTGATCAAATTGAACAAAAGTAACTAAGGAACATTCTAGAGATTATTTCCATTAAAACCAGCATTTAACTCTCATATCTCCTAAAGATATTCATGTTACTTTATACTTTTTTGTCAAAGTAAATTTCGTTGGGGAGGCGGGGGGGGTGAATATTGGGGTATTATAGTCTTTCACCTCAGGAGCAATGGCTCAAATGGTAGTGACTGAAAGCTATAACTACTTGTGGCCTGTATTAATTGAACTGGTGATCTCAGTCCCAGTTTGTAATAAGCAGGTGTCCACATCATAAAAACTATCCCTTTCGTTGACATCTTTGTCTGTAGACTCAACAAAGAGCCTGAGGATTGATTGGGCATGAAATCTAACCAATCCGTCAGCCCCTTAGCTGTGTTTCCTCTAGGACAGGGATTCTCAACCTTTTTCTTTCTGAGGCTCCCCAACATGCTATAAAAACCTCCACAGCCCACCTGTGCCACAACAACTGTTTTTCTGCATATCCAGTAGATTAAAAGCCAGGGCTGGCGTTAGGGGATAGCAAGCAGGGCAATTGTATTAATTGGTTATTTGTTTCTTTTTTTCTTAAAGGTACCGTGCTTTCTGACATCATTCAACAATATTTTTTCTCTCCTACACTCTTCAGAGTCATTCGCTTGGCTCGGATTGGCAGGGTCCTAAGACTTATACGGGGAGCCAAAGGAATTAGAACTCTCCTTTTTGCCTTAATGATGTCCCTTCCTGCTCTGTTCAACATTGGTCTCCTTCTTTTTCTGGTCATGTTTATTTATGCCATTTTTGGAATGGCTAACTTTGCCTATGTTAAAAAGGAGAATGGGATTGATGACATGTTCAACTTCCAAACCTTCGCTAACAGCATGCTCTGTCTTTTCCAAATTACAACCTCAGCTGGCTGGGACGGTCTTCTCAATCCTATTTTAAACACTGGACCGCCATATTGTGATCCGAACCTAAAAAATGCAAATGGTTCGAAGGGAGACTGTGGAAGCCCTGCTGTAGGGATTCTATTCTTTGTTACTTATATCATTATATCATTTCTCATTGTTGTAAACATGTACATAGCCATTATTTTAGAGAACTTCAGCGTAGCCACTGAGGAAAGTACAGAGCCTCTAAGCGAAGATGACTTTGATATGTTTTATGAAATCTGGGAGAGGTTTGATCCTGAAGCGACTCAATTTATTGAGTATTCTGTGCTTTCAGACTTTGCAGATGCTCTGGCAGAACCTTTACGCATAGCAAAACCAAACAATATTAAACTCATAGCCATGGACCTTCCCATGGTCAGCGGAGATAGGATCCACTGCTTGGATATTTTATTTGCTTTTACCAAACGGGTACTAGGAGAAACTGGGGAAATGGATGCCCTTAAAATACAGATGGAGGAAAAGTTTATGGCTGCCAATCCATCTAAAATTTCTTATGAACCAATCACAACCACACTCAGACGGAAACAAGAGGAGGTTTCTGCCATTATTATCCAGAGGGCCTACAGGAGTCATTTGTTTCAACGCTCCTTGAAGCAGGCCTCTTTCTTATACCGTCACCAGGCTTGTGATGGCAACATGCTTGAAGATGAGGCACCTGAGAAAGAAGGTCTCATTGCATTCATGATGAATGAAAATTATGGTAGGCCAATAGACAAATCAGAAACTGTGTCCTCAACATCTTTCCCTCCATCCTATGACAGTGTCACCAGAGCCACTAGTGACAACCTCCAGCTAAAGGTGACAGACTCTAGCAAAAGTGATGAACCTGTATATTATCTGCTATCTCCGGACAGAGATAAAGAATCAATTGTCTAAATGTTTGTTTAGAATGCTTTAAAATATTGTTTACAGAATGTAATGCTGTAACTACACAACAATTGAAGCAGCCTTCTTATTAAATATTAGTTGCAAAATAAACAATGGAGTTTTTACCCTTAACTATGGGAGTCGATAAGTTATAACCTTTGACCCTGCTCTTTTCACCATTGCTCAATGTTTATATATGCACAGGAAGAATCTATGCAGGGTCATAGCTGTTATATCAGTGGTGTGATTATGAATCTGCTAGACTGTAAAACAGTAAACACAGTGTATATCTATCCACAGATAAAGCCAGGCTGTAAACATTCATTTAAGGTCTTACTCATATTAGTGTGTTTACTTATGGCAATGTATGACCTTGCATTCTAAAAAGAAAAAAAATATATCACAGCTGCTGTAGCAAAATGTAACACTTACTGTATATGTTGTCAATGGTCTTTCATAAATTTATTATATTTGATATTTTTTTACTTAAATCAAATAATTGTCTCTTTTTCCATGGAGATAGATGATCCTTACAGCCGACATGTTAAACTCTGAACCAAGGTAACAATAATTGGTGGGACTCCCGTCAGTCGCAGAGGAAAGTTGTTGCAAAATAAAATATTTAATCAACAACATATAACTATTTATTACACTATGACCTCCCCTTTGGGACATGTAACTGCTTGTCATCAGTAATACAAAATAAAAATGAGGCGGAAGAAAGTGATGTCAAATAATAAAGAGAGAAATGGCTTGTTCTACCCTACAGGAAATCAGACAGTAATGGATGCTGCTTGTAAAACAATTAATAAAAATACTAATTTTTTTAGTATGTTTCAAGAATATGCTTTGCTTGTTGTAATCAAACTCTTAGAAATAGGTTATGACCCTGTAATCTGATGTAAAGTGCCCCAAAGCACTATGTATCCAGATAGATTTTCTGTTAAGTGAGTGGGATAGGATGTTTTCTCCAATGACATGGAGCGAAGCATGCTTAATATAATATATGGAGATATACCTATATCTCATAGAGCTGGAAGGGACCTTGAAAAATCATTGAGTCCAGCCTCCTGCCTGCCTTCACTAGGCAGGACCAAGTACTGATTTTGCCCCACATCCCTAAATTGCCCCCTCAAGGATTGAACTCATAATCCTGGGTTTAGCAGGCCAATGCTCAAACCACTGAGCTATCCCGCCCCCTTACTGCAAGTTCTATGCATCAATATTACTCTCTAATGCTTTGATGCAGGTTGTGCAGTGCAGGAGGGTTGTTACAGTGTTATCAATGGGGTGGGAGGGTCTGTACAAAAGTTCTGATATATAGAATCCCTTCTGGGTTTCTATCTTTCACTTTACTGGAGGCTGTGTTTAGATTACTGGGGAACCTTCCTTTTTGCAGGCAGGCAGAGGAATAGTTGCATGTGAAATACCAATCAGTCACAGGCCAAACATATGACAGCAGTGGGGTCCCATTATAAGTGCTTTAGGAATAGACATTTTTAGTGGTTTTATACTGTAAAAAAAATTTAATTTATTATCAACCTTCCAGCCTTGGCAAAATGTGAGGAAGTGTCTGTGGAATATAAAGAGACAAGTCAATGGTTACAGAAAAGCCCTCTCTTTGTTATTTTCAAATATGATGGTACTTGGGTTTGGTGCGTCTTCATGGGAGGTCTTGCCTGAGAAGGCTGTAATGAGCGATTGCACCACAAGGAATAGTAGCCATGTTTTTCACCTTGCAGAAAAAGAATTATCAAGAATGTATTTAAAGTGTACTGCAGTTGACATTTAGTTACATTCTGGATTATAAAGGTGTCAAAATCCACGTGGGGTTGTTACTGAGAATCTTAGCTATCCAGCAACAAGACCATGTTACAATGAAATTTTCCTGTTACCACATCATCTGTTGACAAAATGAGTCAGAATATGTGAAGAAAACACATAAAATAATATGACTACATATATGTTAATGAATTTTTCTTCATCCAATGAGAGGTGTCTCAGGCATTCAGTTTTGTGAGTGGTCGATTGGTTATTCGGGGGACTTGATGTCAGGTCTGTTCCTGATTCTTGCTGTGTGATTTTTAGGTAAATAATTTAACCTCTCTGTGCCTCAGTTTACCCATCTATAAAATGGGGATAATAATACTTATCTACCTCACCGGAGTGTTGTAAGACTTAATTAATGGCTGCAAAGCACTCTGAGGGTGAAAGACACTCTGTAAGTATTATTATAATCATTCTCTCTTTCCCCCTAACCCCCTCTTTATGGTGTACACCATAGAGATTTTCCTTCTGGGATTTTGTTGCCTTTGAATCTTGTATGTAATTAGATTCCAACTTAAGGAAACTACTCCAAATGTGTTTTTCAGAGTGGAATTTCTCCCTCCCCCAATAAATTTTGCTCATGACTTCTCAAGTTAGAGAACCTTTCCACAGATTCCTTGTGTAATTTATGCTGTAATATTATACTGATTGTACATATAACCCAGAAAGAATATGTGATATTTTATATTTATATGTGTGTATCATGCAAGTTTTTAGAATGGTTGACACTCAAACAACATGACTTACTGATTAAATTTTTTTCTCTTGAAAGAGAATTATTGATCATTAGAAACGAGCTGCTGCCTCTAACTGAACGAAATAGGAAATACACATACATGCCAAACAAAACCACATTTATTAATTGACAACTAGTAGGATTATTTTCTTTTCAAAATTGAAGAACAAAATGGAGGAGGAAAAATGCTAATTGAATGGGTATTGCTCATCTAATTTCTTAATATACAAAAAAAATCCTATTTTTAGACCAAAGACTGAATAGCTTACATGATGCGGTGATAGGTTGTTCACATTATTTTGTTATTATTTTTAATTATTTGTTACTTGATTTAGCAGATATATTAAAATGTAACTTCTTAATATACTATAAATAACACCGAAGCCAAATAATAGAATGCTGTGATAAAAAAATTAGCTGGCTACTGATTATATTACAGGAAAGCTCTTCCAGCAATCAGTGGACCCCTGAGATGAGCATCATTTTAATTACTGCAAGACCCTACCATATCAATACAATTGCAAACTATACTATGTTGTACCCCAAAGCTGTAAAAAAGTGAGTCTGAAAGAGGGTCTTAACGATAGATATTTACAGTAAACTTTCTAAAAATAAATTGTAAATTAGGTTCAAAATGGACTTTGTAAAAATTTCTATTGGATTTTTCTATTATTTTCTGGAACCTTTCTTGAGAACTGAAGTGTAATTGCTGCATTTGTATTAGATGTCGGACTCCCTTAAAAACTTCAAGTACCTGACCTGCAAGTCTTTACTAAAGGAGATACCGATCACAATATATCAGTGGTACAACCTCCCAGTGTAGTGATATTGTAGTTAGTGACTTGATAGACAGTGCATACTTATTATAAGCATGAGGAGTGCTGTCATTTTCTGCGGATTTGCTCAATAAAGAGTACAGCATGAATCATCAAACTACAAAAAGAGCACATTAAAACTTCAGCCAATATCACAGGACATACTAAGCTATTTGTATCTGGAAAAAGCCAAGTTTACTATGTTTCTTTATTAAATAAATAAGGATAACACATACTTTCTGTGCCAAATTATTTTTTTATTGTACCAGCATTTACATGAGTTCTCCAAGTCTTGTTCGGTAGCCAAATTTGGTTGAGAAATGCAGGGCAACTTTTTTTATGTGTAATAAGAGGTGAAGAATCAATGAAATCCACTCAAGTCATTCTTTCGTTGTAAGGCTGACTGCTGCACGTTCAAGGCTAGATCCAAATCTTGTTACGGTCAAAGACTCCCATTAACTCCAGGAGGATTCGGATCAGGCCCTAAAAGCTTCTGTCCAAAGTGAGTAATATATAGAACCAATCCTGCATTTCTAGCTCAACCAATCTTTGCCAGCAGACTTGGGAGGAATATGGAGTGTGCTAGGAATGTGGAATCAAGCCTAAGTGATGTAAAAAACTTCTGCACGTGAGATGTCCTCTTGATAATAATACAGATTTTCCCCTATTTAATCATATTGTTGTTATTATGATGATTATTTTATCTGCTTTGATTGAATCAGGACTTTTTTACACACAGACTTGTACAAGTTTAGTTAAACTAGTGCAAACAGTGGTTTCCACACTTTTATTTTGGTTTAAGAGTGGTTTGTTCCTAATCACTCTAAGAGGCACCAAAATGAGATTGGTTTAAACTGAAATTAGGGTTCACACAGACTTTTGTACTGGTTCAACAAAACTGGTTTAAAATCACATCTGAGGTTTAAGTAGTGCAGCTGTACATGTAGACAAGCCCTCGTTCTCCTTAAAAGATGGAAGTCGTTCGGAAGAGTAAATAATCTACTGACGTCTGAGCAGCCATGGGGAGAAAGCTGGGGGTACTGATACTCAGCTGGTATAAATCAGTGGCACTTCACTGAAGTCAGTAAAGCTATGTCAGTTTTACACAAGGATTAGGCTTGTTTTGCCCATGTGTAAATGACTACATAAAGCACAAAGACAGTGGAAGATGAGACCCGATGACGCTAAAATCAGTGTGAGCTCAGAATCAGGTCCTGCATTTTCAGAGTTGCCCAAGGATTATTGTCATAATACTTGCAATGACTTTAGTCCCTGTTTACTTTAATGGGATTTGTATGGCTAAATTCCTGGGCAACTTTGAAGAGATCGCAGTTAACAGTTTGGGTTAAATTCCTAGTGCAACGTGAGTGCAGGTCAGTTTAGGGAGTGCTGTTATAGTAAGCTATGGCAGCTTTCTTTGTTTTTAGTGAGAATTTTCATCATGACCTCAGCCAAAGCAGTAGTGGCACAAATAAAAAAAGACACTTTGGTGGCTTTGTAATCAGAGGCAGGCCACTGCGAAGGTCTAGTATCAAAGGACTCCTCTGCAGAGTGACAGTAAGAGTGTTGTGTTGCTGACAACAGCAATGAATTTTACTGCTATATGGTATGGGTGCTGAGAAGAGACCAGAAAGTGGGTTAAGTAGAGAGAAAACAGGCAGGAAAACAACACAGAAAAACAACCTTGAAATTGTAAATGAGAAAGGCAGTCTCTTAGTGTTGATTTTTACATATTGTTATGACATAGATTCCCTTTTTTTCAAAGAACAAACATGGATAGCCTGCTGAGTGTTTACATATGACAAAAAAATAGCACCCATGTCAAAGGGAAAACATGTGAAAGCAAATAGTCCAAGTGGAATGGCTCTTGGCAGCAAGTGAAAAATGCTTCAAAGTCAAACGTCACTGATAACCCTGTGAGGACTGAAGGTGTTGGACTGCAATGAGGGTATGTTTTTGTCAGCACCTCCGCAAAAGCTATTTTAGCAAGCTGACAACCCAGCCGTTTGAGTCGGTTCACATGCCATGTGCTTTTACCAGAGTGGAGTTCTTAAACCCAATTCCATGGTTAGTAGGCGTATCACAGTTATGGACTCTACTGATATGTCCCCCGAATGACAGTGCCTTTCACTAGAGAGCTGGGATTTTCCAGTCTTGGGAATTCCAGTGCTCTTTTGCTCTGAAAAGTGACTATGTACAATGTTACGCAACATAAGCATTTGAAAATCACATCAGGTTTCAAACCGTTTCTAGGCCTTCAGGGTGCACTTAGGTCACGTTTCAAGCATTTCTTCTAAAACATGAGAGCTCGAAGGATTTTTATTAAATGAAAACTGAGGTTCTCAAACTGTCACATGACTCCACAAGCTGGGGCTTTAAGAAAAACATTGAATCTTGCAATGCTTGTGACAAAATTGTGAGAGGTGGCAACACTGGTAAGTGCCATGCCACACTGAAAAGGGACCAAATTCAATGTCATTTTCTTACTCAAGAGATCCACTCCTTGCGTGAACTCCTGGCCCCATTGACGTCCATGGAAGTTTTGCCACTTACATCAGTGGAGTCAGGATTTCACCCCTCACATCTGTCTCCATGGTCCTAGCTACTCACCTTAGTGAGAAAAATAAGTTTTACAGCTCTTAACCCTGCAGCATGAAAACAGCTAAAGGAAAATTAGGGCGTTTCATTTCAATGAGATGTTACTAGCATGACGTACTGTACAAGTGTTGCTAAAGTGTAAAGGAGACAGAGACCCCTCAGGTGTCGCTCAGAGGTGGTCCAGCCCATCCAGGATTGGGTCATAACCATGTATGGGATTTGAGCTCCTCTCTTCATCTATCAGCAGTGCCTTGTCTTGATTCATGGGAGGTTGCTATGTAGTGTAATACCAGCTCTGCCATCTCGCTTTCTACCAGGTTTGCTAATTTTTCATAACTGCTTTTTTTATAAGCGGTCAAATCCTTCTTGGACATCAGCAATGGCTTTTTTATTTAGCTCAGTTTACACCTGTGCGTCCCCACTGACAGTATATTTTGGAAATAATTGGGCTGCATTAGCCGTAAAACGGGAGCATAATCTGGCCTGCAGAACCTTTATTATTCATAATGTCTGAGGAGGAAAGAACCCAGGTTGATTCTGCAGGACTGGTTATTAAGAAATCTTTCCATTTGTAACCTCAGCACATTTGATATGTGATTGACGGACAAACAAATTTGGAACCCCACAGTTCCATTTTTACAGTCGCTCTTCAGAACCTAACCAAACCATACTTTAAATGCCAGTCCACGCAGACATCTTCATTTCAGCTACAATCTAAGGTAGAGTTACAAAACAATTTTGAGCGTGTGACACAGGTTGTGACCAGGTGACCTGGCCATTTAAAGGTGACCTGGCCATGAGGCCTGCGGCTAGCCAGCCCTATGTAATCAGCCCTACCTGTGCCATAATTAGCACTCCCATCTTATTGGGCCTAGACTAATTCGGATCAAGTGACAGCCTGAACCATCAGGGCCTCATAAAAGGGCAGAGAAAAATCAGGCTGGGGAAAAACCACGGGGAGCAGGCTGGGTTCCAGTGGAAGGTGCAGAAGAAGGGTCTGGAAGGGCTCTGGAGACTCTAGCTCAGAGCAGGGAAGTTGGAAAAGTGGCCCAGAGGGGTTGAGACTGTGAGAGGCCTCTAGGGAAGGGAGCAGCCTGAGAACAGCTCCTTCCCAGAGGGGAGAGACTGAAAGGCAGCCCAAAAAGTAGACTAAAGAGGAGTCCAAGCACTGTGCACGCATTGTTTGTTTGGGCTTCAGTCCCCTTCTAGGGAAGCAAAGCCCTCAGAGTGACCCACCTGGAGGACTAACTCATGTGAATCCCAGGGACAGATAGAAAACATGGGTATGGAGACACTGAGGGAGTGCCATGCTTAGCCAGCAGGAGGTGCTACAGCATAGGCATGCTCTGTGACACAGGGCCAATGCCCTGTGCCCAATCTGTATGAGTCTCATACAGGCGCAGCTAGAAAGCCTTAGTTCTCTAGCTCAAGCTGTCGCAGCTCATGCTTTTAGCTTTGGAGGTACAGGTTGGGCTGCCCCAGAGGCTGTCAGACAGTCACAAAAAATTCAGTCGTGTTAAAGGCTGAAGTTCTGGATGCTCAGGGAGGATTCAGACTCAGACAGAGTCTCTTCCCCTCCCTCCATTCTTTCCTTAAGTTTTTAAAAGGAAATGTGTTGCCTTCCCTCCCCCTTCCCTTCCCCCCCAAAAACCCACTAAGAGATCCTAAGGAGCTGTCTCATGGTTTTCCTCACCATTGCTCATGGTGTCCTGCCAGAAATGTTATTCCTTGAGAAGGGATCTAGATCTTAGGGGAGGAGCCAGAGTTCCCCTTTGAAAGCGGCAGTGAGGGGTCTGAATCTTGGCTTCTTTCTACAGCAGGTTATTCTGAAGCTCCTGTCTCAGCCAATGCCTGGGGTAGGGCTGACAATAGGCAGCTGTCACTGCTGCTGTCTGCTTCCTTGTATTGGCCCTGGTTCAGATGGAACAGGGCAGTTTCTCTAGCACAACGGGCTCTCAGCCCTCCCACTCCCTCAAGCTGCTGGGTTGTGGAGAATGAGGGCGGGGTGCTGGCGCTGGGGGTGTGGCCTGAGGGTTAATACTTCCTCACATGTTGCGGGATGAGTCAGCCGAAGTGCTCCGTACAACAGGTTGTGAGGTGAAGCTCTCAAATAGGATACACTTTCCCAAGTATGTGGACAACAGGGAATGCAACAAGCAGAAAGGATTTTCCCCATAGACTCACAGGAGGCTTGGGAAACCTGTTGAACTAGCAGGGCTGAGACAGAGCTATGCTCTCAGCCCTACAGTTGCTCCTTCCAGCTGGAGAACTTTGGAAGAGTTGTGAGAGAAAATGTCCATTGCAAACATGAAGGCTTTCATTGGCTCGGACATTTCAGACCTAAAATACTTGACAGATACCCTCAGCATTTCTGAGCGTCAAGCTACTGGCCCTTGTTGTGTTTGCTGGGCATTATTATTATTATTGTTTGCTGTCTCTTTGGAGGTGCCCCAAAGTCTGTCTCAGACCCCATAGCACAAGTAAGAAGATATGATCCAGGCCTGTTACAGAGCAAGCTAGGCCTTAAAGGGGAGTACAGGCCCAGCTCCCACCTATGCTTGGTTTTCTTCCCTGCAGGCTACAGCAAAGCTAGCTAGGAAGGGGAAAACTGGTTATAAATAACTTCCTGCCCTTGTT